ATCGGAATAAGCATCGGTATCGGTGCATCCCTAATTTCCCCTCACCTCTTGTTCCGGTGACAACTTTAAGATTTTGGATTTCCCATCACTTTCTGTCCCGCTGATGACACTTATTAGTGTGAATATCTCCAGGGGTGGCACGGGCAGAAATAAAACCCTGGCAGGGTTCAGCGCTTCTTCTAAAGTTTTGGATTTAGATACTTGTAAGTTTTGAGAAAGTTGATGAATTTTTGTTTTATGACGATAACTGATTACAATGTTGATGATGAAGTCAGAAGAAAGCACATCAAGAGGGCTGAGCAAGGCTTTGATGATTGTTGGTTTTGGTTTTACTGTCAGATCAGTTAGCAAAAGTGTGCCCATTAAAGAATGGGCACAAGGTTGGGGGTTGTTGTTGTTATGGAGGCAGTTGATGGGGTGACAATGATGGGGCCATGCAGGCGCAGTGGTGGTAGGGGTGTTGCTGCCTCAGTGGTGATGGTCAAGGCTTACAATCTATGCCCCCCATGCAATTATGGGGGGTACGATGACAATGATGGGGTCATGCAGGCGCAGTGGTTATAGGGGTGTTGCTGCCTCAGTGGTGATGGTGCTCGGGGGGTGGCAGGGGGATTCTGGTAGAAACCTACCATAATGCAATGCCCCCCCATGCAATGATGGGGGGTACGGTGACAATGATGGCGTCTCGCAGGTGCGGTGGTGGTAGGGGTGTTGCTGCCTCAGTGGTGCTGGTGGTCCGGGGGGTGGCAGGGGATTCTGGTAGAGCTGCACCATAATGCAACGCCCCCTATGCAATGATGGGGGGTACGGTGACAATGATGGCGTCACGCAGGTGCGGTGGTGGTAGGGGTGTTGCTGCCTCAGTGGTGCTGGAGGTCCGGGGGGTGGCAGGGCATTCTGGCAGAGCTGCACCATAATGCAATGTCCCCCCATGCAATGATGGGGGGTACGGTGACAATGATGGCGTCACGCAGGTGCGGTGGTGGTAGGGGTGTTGCTGCCTCAGTGGTGCTGGTGGTCCGGGGGGTGGCAGGGCATTCTGGTAGAGCTGCACCATAATGCAATGTCCCCCCATGCAATGATGGGGGGTACGGTGACAATGATGGGGTCACGCAGGTGCGGTGGTGGTAGGGGTGTTGCTGCCTCAGTGGTGCTGGTGGTCCGGGGGGTGGCAGGGGATTCTGGTAGAGCTGCACCATAATGCAACGCCCCTATGCAATGATGGGGGGTACGGTGACAATGATGGGGTCACGCAGGTGCGGTGGTGGTAAGGGTGTCGCGGCTTCAATCTGAAGTTTCAGTTAGACAAACTTGTCCTACAGCAGGCAGCTCTACTTTGGTGTCTCTTTAGCTAACACATAGTGCTCTAAGAAACCCAAATCTCCCCTCCCTGGATTTAGGCTTTAAAAACAATTACTGTAGAAGGAAATTGACCCCAAACCATCATTAGCTTTCCTTTGATATAGACAGCCATGATTATTGTGCCCATCGTTGAACGACGATTAATCGTTTGCTTGGCAAATCATAACAGAGCATGATTTTTGAGAAAGTAATTTATTCATTGGACTAGCTGATAAAGTTTGTTCCTTGTCAGATGAATACAGTGTATGGAGATATATTACTGAAATTGACCCCGAAACCATCATTAGCATTCCCTTGATATAGACCAGGGGTAGCCAAACTCCGGCCCTCCAGCTGTCAAATCCTATCATGCATCTGCCCCTGGTAGTCATGCCCGTCAGAGTCTTACAATGCTTCATGGTGCTTCCTCAGCAGTTGGGGGTCTGAAGTTTGGCTACCCCTGGTATAGACGGTTATGATTATTGTAACATCTGGGGAACTAACAACAAGGTGATGAAGCAGAGGACTTGCTTTGGTGGGAGCAGCAAAAGGTCCCTTTCAGACGGGTGCCTTCAGTTCCTATCAGGAGGCTATCTGTGCAAAAACCGACCAGACCCATGTGACTCTATGGGCAGCCGGATCTAACCAGAGGGGCGTCCATTTACATCTGGTTACCCCCCGATTCCGACATGATCAGATCAGAAACGGAACACTGTTTTTGTTTTTCCGGGCCTGGCTGGAGCTAGCCGGCTGCCCTTAGAGTAACATCGGGCTTCCGATCGGGTCATCCAAAAAAACTGTCAGGCGGACCTGATGGGAAAGCCCCTGTGAAAGGGCTCCAAAAGGATATCGAATCACAAATAGCAGATGGCCACGCCGCAAATACTTTGTTCATCCCAGAAAGTAGTAAGGCCTCATTCACACTGGAACCGGCCGGCACGTACAGCTCCGGGGAAGGACATGTGGTGCGTGTGATTAGTACGCAGCCCCCCTCCTTCTTTATGAGACTACACGGCCGTACACCGCCCTACGCTCACCCGCCCTGCACGTCCGCATAGGTGCGGGTGTCCGTACTCAAAGGCTGACAGGATGGATCCTGTCTGCGTCCGAGCCGGGACACCCGCATCCGTACGGACCTGCACTTGGGGTGAGCGCAGGGCGGCGTACGACCGCGTACTCCCATAGAGAGAGACAGAGGCTGTGTACTAATCACACGCACCACATGGCCTTCCTGGGAGCTGCCCAATACGGCCGTGCACGCAGTACGGAGCTGTACCTGCCGGCCGTTTCTCATGTCAATGAGGCCTAACACAAACTAATGGTGGGTACATTGTTACAATAGGCACCCTCTGATTAATGGTGGATATATTGTTTATACTTCATATACTTTACTGGCCCCTCGAATGCACTTGACCGATGTCAGTTCCTGCAGGCCGAGTTAAGTTAATGGAAAACAAATCCAGTTAAAAGCTTTTACTAAGCCCCGGCGCTTTACTTAGAGTATTACTGCATGATTCCCGTGAGGCCCCCGTCTTCTGTGTGTCTCTTGGCTCCCGGTGTCTGAACTCCGGAGGATGCATGGTGAACGTGTTTGTGCTCGCCCCACCATTCCATGACCTTTCATGTACTCAAAGAATGTCTCTGCTCTCCTACAGGTCTATCTCACCGTCATCATTGCTACTGAAGATAAAAACACAATGCAATGTAACTGAACTGAGAACCCTAACGTAGCTATAGACAGGCTGGGACGGGGAAATGTGTGTATTGTGGCTTTCTATAAACATTCATTCATTATTATGGTCGAGATTAAAGTGAAACTGAAGCCGAAAACTGTTTATTTATTTTTGGATACAGAAGTTATTGGGCTGCATGGGGCTCAGATTTCACATATTTGATCTATAGTGTGTTGAATTTCAATTCAAGTGCTAAAACTTTGTTTTAGTTTTTTGGATGGAGTGGAGAGTGAAGAGAACCCCGTCAGGTTTGTATTGCCGTCTTTGTCCCTGTTACCCTCTCTATTTGTCCTGGTGACTATTATCACTGAAAGAGAAAGGAAATCCCCAAAAGAACAAAAAGAGATGGGAAACCTTCCAATGGGGACACTAGTTTGGGTGATTTCCCTTTCTTTGGAGGGATTTCCTCTCACTTCCTGTTGTGGATATTGGACAGGAAGAGAAAGAGGAAATCGGACAGGATATTGGACAGGAAGAGAAATCTCTCCAATGGCACACAGATGGCCAAAAAAGCTAACCTTCCTTTACGATATCCAAAACTAAAAAAAAAAAGTTTTGGCTTCTTTTCTGCTTTAGGGAACATTAGAAGCTCTTGAAAGTACTGGCGGAACTACCAGGGCCACAGCGGCCGCATGTGCAACCGGGCCCTGGTGTTCCGCCACTTGGGAGTGTGGCCCAGAAAGGAAGAAGAGGGCCCAGTAACCGCCGAAGCCCTGACATTGCCTCCTGGGACTACAGCTCCCAGCATGCAGCAGGTCAACGCTCCGCAGCTCCCTCCTGAGGTAGCTAATACTCATGCCACCTCGTTCTACCCAATAAGTGTCGGCTCACTCTACCCTGAGAGGGGGCTGGAGGAAACATGCCTCTGCTCAGTGGCGTCACAAGGGGGGTGCGGCCCGCACCTCGGTGACACCATTGGAGGGGTGACACCAAAATGACTTACAGTCATTTTGTTGTCACCCCATCTGAAATGTCGGGCACTCGGTCATGGATGGAGAGCCCGACAGTTGCAGGAGAGAGGAGGGGACCCGGCGGCATACCTTATCCTGCCAGGTGAACGTCCCCTCCTCTCTCTGTCAGCAGGTATCACCAAGATAGCCGCGCATGCACAATAACGTCATTGCACACACGCGTGGTGATGTCACACACATGCACGATGACGTCACGACGGGGTGTCACCCGGTACCCGCTCCGGGTGTCCCCTGGCCACGGGACACCCCTGCCTCTGCTTGCCCTCTAACATCATTATAATAATGGTGTTTCACGGTTCTTGCACTGGAGCCCTGAGGCATCTAGATAAATGATAGTGATAACATAGTGAGATTGGGATGTGATCCATCTTTCAGGGAAAGCTCAAGTCACCATTACTTTGATAGGAATCCAAGAAGTCAATGCAACATCAGTCTGACAATGTAAAGTACTGAGTACAAGGGACCCCATTTTGAGAAGATTAGTTATTGTAAGGCCCAGTTCCAAGCTTCCTTTTCTCCTTAGATCTTCAGTCTGGTCATGTGACATCATGGAACCTCTTCTTCTAGTGGTGGAGGGTCCTGAATGCTGAAGAGTACAGTGCCAGGTAATAAAGTGGTGTTGTCCAGTAAAGCATTTCCCGGAAGCCCAGGGTGCCTGGGTGATGTACCCCCTAAGGAGCGAGTCTTTGACGTTCTTGACTGACAGGAAGTGGGCTGAATGACACGGATGTTGTACTGCCAGGAAGAGGAGAATCCCTGGACCATGGAGTCTCTGAGCCAGCCGGGGATAGTGCTGGAGAGGAGGAGGGTATTGCAACCAGAGCAAGCCTAGGCTACTTGGCTTTCAAGTGGGGTTGAGCTTTAAAATTTTGGAAAATGTGCTTGGGTACAGCCAAAGGCTTCCTGAGTGGAAACATCTGATGTATTGTGTACTGTACAATGCTAATAATGGCATCTAAGCAGAATCCGAGTCATCTGTCATAGCACATTCCAGAACGATAGCGGTGCTTTCACAGTCGTTCCCCATCTTGTTCTCCTCCTCCCTGTGCGGGTTTGCGGTGATTTCATTTCTCTTCCAGCGGTTCTTCTTCTTGAGAGATGACAGATGGTTCTCCTATTAGAATCACAAGCACAAAAAATACATTATTTGTCCATCTAGATGTAAATGTGCAGATCTGGGTGGTCCAGGGGCAGTGGGATCCTCCATACTCTCTTCTGTGTTTCAGAGTATATTTTATGGTAACATGCACCGCTCATGACAGGTTCTCTTATTATTGTACACTTTGGCCATTTTTGGGTAAGGATGTCAGCCAGTATCCTCCCTTGTTTTACATTGAGTGGGCAGGGCCTGCTGGGGAACTTTGAGAGTCGAGTTCCCCATCAGCTCCTCTCTCCTGCAAATTGACAGCAGGCATTGGGAGCGGGTGCCATAGCCAGCATGCTATTGGCTATGGCACCTGGCTGCTGTCAATCAACTGCAGAGCAGACCTGATGGGGAACTCCGTTTTTAGAATTCCCCATCAGGCTTCGCCCACTGTCAGCATCACTGTCGGTTGTAGCTGACAGTTTACTTCGCAACCAGTAATGCCCACTGTCAGTGAGGTTGAGTGGCTGGAGCCTGATGGGGAATTCTGAGAAGTGAGTTCCCCATCAGGGCCACTCTCCTACAGACTGATTGCAGGCAGTGGGTGGGTGTCATAGCCAGCCTGTTATTGGCTATGACACCTGCTCACTGCCTGCTATCAATTTGCAGCAGAACGGACCTGACGGGGATCTGCATTCTCAGAATTCTCCATAAGGTCTGCTCCCCTGCATATTGACAGCAAGCAATGGGTGGGTGTCATAGCCAATAGCAGGCTGGCTGTGACACCCGCCCACTGCCTGCTGTCAACCAGCAGCAGAGTGGACCTGCTGGGAAACTCAATTCTCAGAATTCCTCATCAGGCTCCACCCACTGTCAGAATCACTGGCCGTTAAGGACCCTGTCAGTGGTAGCCTGCTATTGGCTGTGACACCCGTCCACTTGCTGCAGTCAATGTGCAGCAGAGCAAACTTCATGGTGAAAACAGTTATCAGAATTCCCCCAGAAGGTCTGCTCTCCTGCATATTGAAAGCAGGCAGTGGGCGGTTGCCATAGCCAATAGCAGGCTACAACTTACAGGGTCCTTAAAGTCCAGTGATGCTGACAGTGGGTGGAGCTTGATGGGGAATTCTGGGAACTGAGCTCCCCAGCAGGTCCACTCTGCTGCTGACAGCAGGCATTGGGTGGGTGTCATAGCCATACAGAACACAGAAAATCCCCAGCTCACCTGCCAGCCAGCCTGCAACCAAACAAATTGCCCTGTCAACAGTATGCGTTAAAATCAGAGGTTTTAGTTGAAGAAACTTTTGGCCAAAAATATGTAGAAGCCACACTGCCGCGCCAATACACCTCTGCAAGGTGTGGTCCTAACTCTATGTATATGAGTCTCCAAGTGTGAGCACATTAATGCAGTCGATAAATTGCATGCAGGTGTACCTGGAGGTAGCCTACTCCTCCTAATAAGGTGCAGGGACGCACTGGAGGCCCAGCCACCAAAAATGCACGCTGGGACCCCAGTGCGTCCTCACAACCAAAAATAGTCAAACTAGAAAAAACATGGTACCTGCATGAATCTATAACCAGCCTTTACGGCAGGGCGCACATTGGTCCCTGCACCTTATTAGGAGGAGTTGGCTACCTCCTGGTACACCTGCATGCAATTTATCGACTGCATTAATATGCTCACACTTGGAGACTCGGATACATAGAGTTAGGACCACACCTTGCAGAGGTGCATTGGCGCGGCGGTGCGGCTTCTACATATTTTTGGCCAAAAGTTTCTGCAACTAAAACCTCTGATTTTAACGCATACTGTTGACAGGGCAATTTGTTTGGTTGCAGGCTGGCTGGCAGGTGAGCTGGGGATTTTCTGTGTTTTGTATTGTTGTAAGCCTTCCCAATGTGCGCCCTGCTATAAAGGCTGGTTATAGATTCATGCATGTACCATGTTTTTTTCTGGGTGTCATAGCCAGCCTGCTATTGGCCTGCTAACTCAGTTCTCAGAATTACCCATCAAGGTCTGCCCACCCTCAGTATAAAGGTGCCCATACACTGTACGAGAATCGCGGAAAATCCCGCAGTCGTACGATAATCGCAAAGTGTATGGAAGGCGTGCGACCGTTTCTAACCAATGTGCCTACCTGATAGGTGCCGTGGCCAGGTGGAAGCTCAGGAATGCTGAGCATGTGATTTTTTCAGGTGCACTGAGGATAAAGTGTGCGGTATGGTCTCTTCAGCCTCATTGCACCACGTACACCCATATAGCAAGGATAACTTGCTACAAACCTGTGGCGGGGGTTAAATTGTAATTCTGCACACATTCCTGGCAGGTGGTAGACTTGCAGAACACTCGCAGCACAAGTTCTAGGCGACACTTTTTGAATTTGTAGCAAATTTGCTGGGCAAGTCTCCAGCAAGAGTCCTGCAGGTCTTAGCAAGAGCTCTGCCAGCTCGCTGGTCTGGAGACTTGCAAAGCAGACTTGCTGTAATTGTGCAACAAAACTGTGACGCTCGGCAAGTCTGCAATAGTTTAGCAAGTCATTATCAAACTTGCAGCTCAATTACTTGCTATCTGGGTAGTGTTACTTGCGCAAAAATCATGTATCTGTTTGCAACATCTACATGAATCTGGTGCAAGCCCTGCCATTTGTCATGTGGATGCGCAACCGAATTCTAAAGAGCCTCACAGATGCCGGTAAATAGGTTTTCCTCTGCTATACGTCCATACCAGGGACTTGCGGTCAGGGGAGGCAGGTGGGGCAGAGCCTCACCTAGTATTATGAAGAAAAAAGCTGTCAGCTTCAAGTCCGAACCTGACAGCTTTTTCTCCATTCGGATCGGCTTGTAACAGGTTACAGAGCAGGGAAATCCTCCCCGCTGTGTCACCTGTCATGGATGGAGCGCTGGATGTTAATTACAGGCGGCGCTGCATTCGGTGTTCTGTCGATAGTAAAAACTTATCGAGTTGTGGGACCGCATGACTTCCGGTTTCCTTAGAACTACGAGTTTTGGGCAAGAAATTTGTTGTGCACGAGCGCCAATTGCGGCATTGCCCTATACACATACACCACAGCAATAAAGTAATAAAATGAAGTCGGATCACAGTAATCCAGCACGTTATTTATCTCCGGTGCCCCACTCAATATGGCCGCCGCTTGAGTGGGGCACCGGAGATAAATAACGTGCTTGATTACTGTGATCCGACTTCATTTTATTACTTTATTGCTGTGGTGCATGTGTATAGAGCAATGCCGCGGATGGCGCTCGTGCAGAAGAAGTTTTGTGTGCAAACCTCGTAGTTCTAAGGAAACCGGAAGTCATGCGGTCCCACAACTCGATAAGTTCGAACTTTCGATCGAACACCGGCTTTTGACAGGTAGTTAGGTTACACAGCAGCAGGCTTCCCCACTGCTTGTGTAACCTAACTTGGTGAGGCAAGAGCTGTCACAGCCTCTACTCTGTGTTAGAGGCGTGAGCTCCGTGGATGGCTTGGACCAATGTTAAAGCGCCATTAGTCCAAGCAAAACAAAGAAAAAACCCCCCACTGAGGCCATCGATCTCGATGCCTCAGCAGTGACTAGTAAGTGAGGGACAGGGAGGCTCCTCCCTGTCTCCTCCCTTCCTCCTCCCCACACAGCTTGGTTACCGGGGCTTTGGTGGGATGGGGTGGGGCTTCGGTGGCACAAGGCAGAGCTTCAACGGGATGGGGGCGGAGCTTCGGCTGGACGGGGGATGCCTCACTCAGCACAGAAGGCACGGCATGTCACTGGTCCATACTACTGTATACACATACTGGGAGGTCTTACCAGAACTGCTTTCTGCTCTTCATTTTTCCATTTTTGTGACTTCTCTGCAGAATTCTTCTCCAAGACGTCAATCCTGGTACAAAACAACAACGGGGGGAGATTTATCAAAATCTGAGCAAACAGAATCTGGAGCAGCAGCTCATGGCAACCAATCAGCTTGAAAAGAGAGAAGCTGATTGGTTACGTTGGGCAGCTGCTCCAGATTCTGCCTGCTGCAGTTTTGATGAATCCCCCTCAATGAAAAGGGTAAAAGAAGGTTAAAGGAGAACTAGGGGTGGGGGGGGTGGATGCTTTTCACTCATCCTCATAGTTCTAGCCGACCTGTGACAATGAGACTGTCACAAGTCGGCTCAGTAGATCGGGAGGTGAGCGAACACATACCGGCGTTCACTCACCTCTCGATCCTGTCACTGCTCTCTGCCGTGACAGGGGAGGGGCTGGATTCCCCCCGCTCCGATCTGCCAGCGCTGACTGGCGGAACGGACGGGGGAGGGGGCGGGTACAGCTGGCTCTGCCTCTAGATAGGCAGAGCCAGCTGTCACTCGCGCAGCTGGGCGGATCTCGGCGTCCATGTCGGGATCCGCTCCGGCTGTGGCGTCTCAGTATACTGCGAGCTGTAACTCCCTATATACTGAGCTCAGGGTGATGGGAGGACGCTAGTTTGTGTCCTCCCGTTACCCTAAGGAGAACTATGGGGGAAAAGCCTTAACCCCATAGTTCTCCTTTAAAGAAGTCCGGATGCTGGATGTCTGGAAGTAAGGTGAAGATCGTGGATAGTAGTGAGAGAGAGGGAGGATAGTGATATAATACAAGTGAGATAAAAGGTTTAAGGGGGGGGGATAAAATAAGGAATAACACATTAAAGAGAACACAATTATAGGAGAGATTACACGTAGGGTGAGATTTTTTTTTTTTTAAGACAAATGGGGGATAACCTCGGATAGAGGACACGGAAGGGAAACCAACACAAAGCTATCACCAGGGAAAGTTTATGTATTTTAGAAAGGAAATCGGGAAAAAGGTTACACATTTTTAGGATTTTTTAATTTTAGTTAGATGGAAGGTAAGGGGGATGGATAAGGGGTTAAACGGGAAATATTACTCCGGAGCAGATTCCACTTATAGGAGAAACACTTAGGCAGGTGAGAGTGAAGAATAATGAAAGGGTTAAGAGGGTATTATAGTCCTAGGACCGGGTAGAGTCTTTTAATATGGAAAGGACTACACGGACTCACTTGGTGATCATGCCCCCCCCCCCCCCCCCCTCCCCCACCACACAAGTTCGCGATCATAGGATTTCCAAACTCAGTTAGTTGGAAGGTAAGTGGGAGGGATAGGGCATAAACGGGAAACATTATTTTTGATTAGAATTCACATATAGGAGAGAACACTTAGGTGGGTGAGAGTGAAGAATAATGAAAGGGTTAAGAGGGTAAGATGGTCCTAGGACCGGGTAGAGCCTTTTAATATGGAAGGGGCTACACGGACTCACTTGGTGATCATGTTCCCCCCCTCTCTCCTTAGAACATGATGCGATATTAGAATAAATGTTAGATGAGTGTATGGGAGAAGAAATGGAAGATGAGATAACGAATATTGTCAAGTTAGAATATTGCCTAATATATGGAGAGATACATAGTAACGTTATTTGGGAGACAACAGTTATGATGTTTAAATGCATTTTCCCCTTTTTTTTTTACTATAAAGATTGTATAAGTGTTTATTGACATAAAAATATATTGAACCCCCCAAAAAAAGAAGTCCGGATGCGATTCTTAAAGCTGAACTCCGGATATATAAGACACGTTAATGCCGCTCTGCATTCATTAACCCTTTCATGACGGAAGCTAAAAACAAACCTGAACCCAGTTTCTGCAACTTTGTAATGTGTTAGTAGATCTGTCCGTATCTTTACAAGTACTTGGGGCTTCATGTATAATACTTCTGCCTGGTGGGCAGCTGGGAGGATGTCATTCGCACGGCAGTAGCGCCCCCCCCTAGATGGCGCTGGCGAGTATAGGGAGTGTTATACATGAAAAAAAAACCCCAAAATAAAATGATTGCACTCTTATCGTTCCTAGAGATACCACATATGTCTGCGTTATTTGTCCTTCGGGCCCGTAGTAGGGCCCAGACATTTCTTTTATCCTTTTCCTTCTATTCCCCTAATAAACAATTATGTTTTACCAAAATCACACTGACACCAACACTCGTCCCGACACTGACAATTTACAGAGCCGTCCTACCAAATTCTGTGAACGTTCCTTCTGCGTGAGCAGAGGCAAAAACAGACATTCTTAGTAAATGTTCTTTTGGAATGTAGCATTAGGAAAATACAGAATTGTGGCCACTAGATGGAGCTGAGGAGCACAGGAAATAGGGTTCCCCCCCTATGCTCCTCAGCTCCATCTAGTGGCCATAAGGCCGTAGTTTCCTAAAGTTACATTTGACTTTGAAAAAATATTTTACTGTACTAAGAATTAGGGAAGCACCAAAAGTTCGGCTGGTGAAAACCGGTTGGCCGAAAATGGCACTTTTGGCAAAAAGCTGAAAGTACCAACTTTCGGCCGCAAATTGCGGTACATGTGCGGTTCCTCTGCTCCCCACTGGGCGCTCCTCTGTGTTCCCTCTGACAGCAGGGGAGGAAAGAAACCGTCAGAGGAGGCCCGAGCAGTGCAGGGGAGGAGAGCGTCGTGAGCGTCCGGCGTAGCACAGGAGGCCAGGCTCTCCTCCTGCACTGCCCCACTCAGCCGCTGTGACAAATCAGGGTGGAGAATGTTGTGGGGGCGGAGACAGCTGTCACAGGAGGCCGAGGCGACAGTGCAGGGGGAGGAGTCAGCTGTCAAATGCACCAAGCTCTCCTCCCCGCACTGCTCGCTCAGCCTCCTGTGACAGCTGTCAGGATGGAGAGCGGGTACAAGCGGGTCCCCGTCCGGCTCTTAGCAACCTGGGACACTCTGGCAGGCGTCCCGCCCAGCTCCCGGCAACCAGTGATGTCAGCTTCACTATAACAGTCCTCTGCTTCTATGGAGGACCATGATGACGGACGGGGGAATTTTTGACAGACGGGTGACTTGTTACCTCTTCTGCATTCTGCCCGTCTGTTCGGTCATCTCGGCCTGTAACGCCCGGCACGTCGCCTCCATTGCGGCCAGCTGGCTGGTGACTTCCTGCATCTTCTCTGCCATGATCAGAATCTGCCCCTCCAGGTCCTTCTGCTTGTCCAGGTTCTCAGCAATCTGCCCCCTCATCTCCTGCAGATGCCTCTCCTGCATGGGGGAGCATCAAAATGTTAATGCTGCAGCCCACTCCATCGTGCAGGATCAGTAGATGGCGGGTGCAATGCTCTGGCTCCTGCAGACCCTCCCTCCCGTCCATGTCCATTCCTCGGAGACATTCACTAACATGGGCGGGAGGAAGAATTAGCAATTGTATGCCATTGACAAATACCACGGGGTACATTCCTTCTGTGCCAGGTAACCAGCCGCTGTGAGAATGGGGCAAAAACGAATGTTCTTGGTGTAATTTCCCTTCCGGTCGAATGTTCTGCAATTACATTCATTCATAAGGAGCAGAGTGAATGGGGAAAATACCACTTTATGGCCACTAGATGGAGCTGAGGAGCGCAGGAGATAAATACATGTTAGTAAGGAGATACAATGTTACAATTCTATAGAAGACTGGAGGGAATGAACGTATAAATGTCACCATTGCTACTACAGGAACACCAATGGTGACATTTATATGTTCATTCCTTCCTTAGAACTGTAACATTGTATCGCCTTACTAACATGTATTTATGATCCTCAGCGCCATCTAGTGGCCAGAATGTGGTACTTTCTTCATTCATTCTGTTCCTTATGATTGAACCTGTTGAAGAACATTCGACCAGAAGGGAAATCAGACAGACAACATTCGTTTTTTTGCCCATTTGCCACCACAGCTGGTTAACTGGCACAGATCGAAAGTCCCTACAGTCTCGCTGGACAGATAAGCTATGCAAGTTTTTGTTTTTTTAAATAAAGAGACCCCCTCGGATTGATCATGTGATTGTAGCAGGTATCACACAGGATATGAAAGAAAGGCATTTGTCAGTATCCTCATAGGAGCAATAGGTAGGGATCTGCAATGTAGAGACCTGGTAGGGTTCTGTAATATACGGGAGGGGTTAGGTAGGGATCTGCAATGTAGGGGTCAGGTAGATATTTGCAATGAAGGGACCAGGTTTGGAACTGCAATATAGGGATTAGGTAGGGATCTACAGTGAAGGGATTAGGTAGGGATCTGCAATGTAGGAGTCAGGTAGGAATCTACAATGTAGGACTCACGTAGTGATCTGTAATGTAGGGCTCAGGTAGGGATCTGCAAGAAAGAGATCAGTTAGGGATCTGCAATGTAGGGATCTGTTAGGGATCTGCAATGTATGGATCTGTGAGGGATCTGCAATGTAGGGATCTGTTAGGGATCTGCAATGTAAGGATCTGTTAGGGATCTGCAATGTAGGGATCTGTTAGGGATCTGCAATGTAGGGATCTGCTATGTAGGGATCTGTTAGGGATCTGCAATGTAGGGATCTGTTAGGGATCCACAATGTAGGGATCTGGAATGTAGGGATCAGGTAGCAATCTGTAATGTAGGGATCTGTTAGGGATCTGCAATGTAGGGATCAGGTAGGGATCTGCAATGTAGGGATCTGCAATGTAGGGATCAGGTAGCAATCTGCAATGTAGGGATCTGTTAGGGATCTGCAATGTAGGAATCAGGAAGGGATCTTCAATGTAGGGATCTGCAATGAAGCTTGCTATATTCCGTACAATGTATAAAACTGACCCCGGGAGGTTTGTGTTTTTCTCATTCAGAGTCATACCTGGCCTTCTCCTTCTTCGTTCTTCAGTTCAATCAGATGGTGGTCCTCATCCCGGCACCACGGGACGGTGGACTTTCTCCTGGGGAGAGTGGATGATGGTCGCGAAGGTCTCTGTGTAGTGAGAGACCAAAGGACATTCTATTAGCATGTAACAGAGAGGGGGCAATGACACCCTGTGAGTCCACCCCCTGCACCCCCTTCCTTCTGTCTGCCTGTCCCTCTTCCCCCGGAGCTGTGGTGGGACATTCATACATAATAATCCATCAACCAGCAACAATGGGGCAAAAATCGAATGTTCTGAAGGCTTACTATTCTGGTTGAATGTTCTTGAAGTAAATATGGGCAGTAGTGAATTGGGAGAATGCCACATTATGGGCACTAGATGGGGCCAAGGATCATGGGGACTGTAGTAGCAATGGTTACATTTATCTCCCAATTCCCTCCAGTGTCCTCTAGAATTGTTACATTGTATCTCTTGTTACTAAGATGTGTTTATTTCCTCTGATCCTCAGCGCCATTTAGTGGCCATATTGTGGTATTTTACTATTGATTTTCTATGATCCTCAGCGCCATCTAGTGGCCATATTGTGGTATCTTACTATTGATTTTCTATGATCCTCAGCGCCTCAGTGGCCATATTGTGGTATTTTACTATTTATTTTCTATAATCATCAGCGCCATCTAGTGGCCATATTGTGGCTTTTTTTCTATGATCATCAGCGCCATCCAGTGGCCATATTGTGGTATTTTACTATCTATTTCCTATGATCCTCAGCGCCATCTAGTGGCCATATTGTGGTATCTTACTATTTATTTCCTATGACTCTCAGCGCCATCTAGTGGCCACATTGTGGTATTTTACTATTTATTTCCTATGATCCTCAGCGCCATCTAGTGGCCATATTGTCCTATCACCCCTAGATGGCACTGACTAGTATAGTAATTTCCTATACTCATCTGTGACATATTGGGGGACTAGTGCCATGCAAATGACACTATAGCCCTGGTGGAACTTTTATAAATGAACCCCATAATGTCTCCCCATATCCTCTGCATCAGCCAGTATGGCCTTGATCTGCGGTTTTTCAGTCAAGCATTTGACAGCACTAAGCCCCGAAATGCTCAGAGCTGAGCGCGTCCAGAGGAGCAGATGTTCCATGGATAGGGATCAGGGAAGGAGGTCCAGCAGGAGTGTGGTTGGGGCAGCACCCTGCCAGCCCCAAAACATTTTATCCACTTCATAGCTGGACGTAGGACATGCATTCAGAATCCTGAAGAGGTAAAGCACGATTGGGCATTCAAAGTGAACACATCTTCAACTTTTTTAATGAATGATCACCCATTTTTTACAAGTGAACAGTCTCTTCATCTTTAGCAAGCCAACCCAACAGTCCACAAAAGGACCAGTGGCGGAACTATGGCCATAGCGACCCAGGCGGCCTGGGGCACAGCCACAACCAGGAACAAAGGGGTCCCCCTGATGCCATGCAGGCTGGCTTCCTATGGCATCGCAGGCTGAGGACAGTCACTAGCGGCTGTGAGGAGGAACGCCCTGCTGTCCAGATCACCTGTCGCATTCCTCCTCACAGCCGCTGCTGAGTCAGTGACAGGAGGAGGAGGCAGGGCCCAGCGGCAGTGGAGGAGGAGGAGGCAGGGCCCGGCGATGGTGGAGGAGGCCGGGGCCGGCGATGGTGGAGGAGGAGATGGGGCCCGGGCCCAAGCCCAGCGGCGACTGTGGAGGACAGAGGAGGAAACATTTTGCTATGGGGCCCTGTGATTTCTAGTTACGCCCCTGAAAGGGACAGTTGTCACACACACATCTAAACAGTACTCATGACGTTATTCTTTTTGATACCTTTAATGTGTTTGTGTTTTCCTCTTGATCTTTTCCGGCCACGGAGCTAGCCTCGGCCCTCGTCCTGCGCTCTCGTCCCGGTCTGCTCTGTGCAGGAACACTCTGTGTGCGGGTCACATGGCGTCTACTCTTCTTCTCCCTCTCCTCAATCCTCGGCAGTGGTACCATTTGTTCCCTCATCAGGCTGCTGAGCGACTGGCACTTCTTCACAAGGGGGCGGAAGTTTCTCATGTCCTTGGGAAGCATGAACTCTGGCTCTTCACTATCTTCCTGGCTGTGGGAGAAAAACACACAATGCGGTGTGATTCTTCATATGGTGACCTCTCCATTGTAAAGTTGACTTAATCTAAGGCCAGTGGTTGCTTGTACATCATCTTGCCCAGGACTGAACTAATATGGCTGATACCAGAAACACGCACAACCAGGCACTGGTCTAATGTTTATGGGTCCAGAAGATGATTGTTATCTAAATGTCCTCAGGAAGGGTGGCATCATTTGGACCAGAGCTGGATCATCCACAAGGCATCATAGGCAGGAGCCTTAGAGTCTAGGAGATGTCCTATGGATCCAGATACCTCCTTGCTTCTTCTGCAGTAAACCAAAGGGATAGATAATGGTGGTCATTGGGGGTGTGGGGGGGGAGTCATAAGGGAGGGGACAGTGCAAACAACCTGGTGTAGGAGCTCCCTCTTCAAAGAAAGCTGGGGCTTCCTTCTCACATGGAGTTTTGCCAGGATAACTGGAGCAATTAGACTAGAGGAGGAACAGAGATGAGCCTCCCTCAAGATGTGAGTAATGGATATAAGGCCAGCAAGTTCAGAATTTAGTTGGCAGGACATGATACGATTGAAGTAGTGTGGTGAGATACTGTTGTAATGACTTCAAAGGCAGGAGCCCTAGGGACCAATTGATGTCCAGGGGGCCCAGATACAACTCTTCTTCTCAAAAACCTGGGTCCAGTTCACTTGAACCAAGCCAGAATCCCAGATTTGTCAAATGTCCAAGCCAACCAGACCCTGGGCCCCACGGCACTATTGGTTGCTAGGATGCAGGTGGGTTCACCATAACAATAATGCCGTATGTGTCCTAGCAGCCAATGACAGTGTGTGACCCGCATAGAGTCATTGGTTTCGATTCTAGTGGTTTTTATGGTGTGCCCCTCCTGTGTCCTAGCAACCAGTAACACTGTACAGCTCAGCCACCAGTCAACCAATGACTCTGTGCGGCCTGCACAGCATTTTCCAACTTTCATCATCTGATGCGGGGCGGAAAGCTGCCAACAGCTGCACCAATGGTGCAAATTTCTGCCGGTTCATCAAGAACTGGCAGAAGTTCGACAGGTATGTCCCCGGCTTTAGTATATATAAATATTTATACCTGGAGTTCAGCTTTAAGATTTATTAATCTGTTGGAATTGATTGAGATTTTTTTAATAGTCCATTTTAAAGACATCCACGCTGTCATTTATCATGCCCTTATTGTCACCAGAAATGGCACCGGACATATCTGTATTCTGCCACCATGTTACCTCTGATGCTGACTGATGCCTTCTGGGACAGGAAGACCTTCTGCTAGTGCCTTGAGGATTGTAGGTAATGGCTCCAGTTGATCTTTGGTTTGCTGAAAATCAGAATAAGAAAGGCTTATACATGTATGGGAAGGACTGGTCAAAATGTGGGTTATCTCTGGTAATACTTGTTATTATTATTATTATTTTTATTATTATAATAAAGAGATTAATATTTCATGGAACTTTGTTGGACAAGTGCGGGGAAATCTTCTCAATGGGACACAGATGCATTCTCCATTCCTCACTTTATCCAAAAGCTTTGGGCAACATGTGACCATCCATCATGGAAATATGATGGGCAAGACATGGGGGAAATCTTCTCAATGGGACACAGATGGTATTCTCCATTCCTCACTTTATCCAAAAGCTTTGGGCAACATGTGACCATCCAGAACCCGAAGACTGTTGTGAATGCCGGGAAAGGTGTCAGGGACCAGAGTTCCTCCAGGTGGCACTGTGGAGCTGGAACCTGATCCTGCAATTCCAGTGCTCACCTGCAGGTGTCTCCCAGCAATTAGGCACCACCTGGTGCTGCTCTGGGAGGGTAGTTATCCTCTCCCTGCAGTGAGGCCTGTGCTTCAGTATTGTCACCATAACCTGTATCCTGTTGCCTGTAGCCTGTTCCTGCCTTGTACCCTGACTTGGACCTGACCCTTACCCCTGAGGTCTCCTGACCCTTACCCCTGAGGGGGAGGACGGACAGGCTGCACACATTTTACACGTGATCGTGGCGACATCAACCGCAATCACTTGTAAATGAATGAGCTACCCCACACTACATTTAGTCCCGCCTTCCCAAAGCAGGACTAAATGTAGAAGGCAACTTACCGCCCGGCGTCAGGGGGGATTCCACACCGCTGCCGCCCCTCTGCGCTATGAGGCCTGGCGTCAGTAGCCTTGTGGGGAATCCGGGCCCGGGTGTGGGGACACCCGTGCATGGTATCATGACAAAAGGTCTACACGCTGTACATGTGCTCTGTGCCAACAAAATAATTGCTTTTAGTCACATGACTAATGACTACATTTTATGACTTCCCAGATTATGGAAGCAGAAGGTCCATTGGAAGTAACAGAAATGGATTCCAATCACATAGACGTAGGCGTTGGTTTACCAAAGTTGTAGAGCATGCTCACTGCGCAAAGCTTAGTGAAAGGGGTGATGATGTACTGACTTCAATCATCCAGTCACGAGTGTGCAAAAATCCTTTTATGTAATTTTCCTTGTACAATTAGATATTCTTTACAAAGAGAGTTTTCACTCAGCTTCATCTTATTCACTTTGCAAAGTAAACATGCCCCACTCTTTTAGTAAATTAACCCCATTGTATTAAAAACCTTCATTTTTAATCTCCACTCCACTTCCCTATTATAGCAGTTGGGCAGTGTGTCTAAATATGACTGTCCGTAAGGCACCAGAGTTTGGCCACATTGTCCAGTGCACTCCATAATTTACCCCTTAATTGAGGGGTGTGGCCATTACTGGTCTATGCAAGCACAGAGCACTGGAGTGGGGGAGCAGGAAGAGCATTTCTACTAAGAGAACGAGGTATTTTAAGCCATTTCCAGACAAAAATCATAATATGAAGGACTTTAAGAGGAATAAAAAGTGAGACTTCAGTTGGGTTTCATCACAGGTCTATAGCACTTAAGTGACCACAGAAGGAACACATTGGGCGTGATTTACTAACCTAAACACACGCACGCACTAGGTGCGTGTGATTTTTACACAGCAAAATGTATTTATCAACCAAAAAGTCTCTAAAAGCATATTTCCACTAATGCCATATATGGAAAAATCATGCACATGATGCATATATAATGCTGCTTCACAGTTTAGACAAAAATGGTTAGCTCATGCATTTACATTCCTGCATTCATCAACGCAAGCAACACAATGTAGAGCTAATTTACACAACATCACCTTGCAATTCATGCAGGGCTTTGCACAACACACCTGCTGGGTGTGTACACACTACAAAGGTGTCTAGAGTCCACCCATAGATCATGCTGGGAGGGAACACACTACAGAGGTGTATACTTGTTCGTGGCGTGTTTATAAGGTTAGTAAATCAACCCCATTGTGTAACGTGTTTAGTTTAGTATGCACTGTTGGGTGGTTATGGGTTAGGCTATGATGTTTTATTTAACAATTCTCTTCTACACATTTGAGTTCATACCTGATGGACTCCTTTGAAGATCCCACATAGCATGTAGTGAAGTGTAGCAAGTTCATAAGCCAGATCGATGCTGCCTTCATATCCAGCTGGGGACACCTCACTGTCTGGATCGGTGACTGTCTGCAGAAAGACCGACATCCCATCCCAGTACTGCTCCAGGAAGCCATTCATGAATGCCATGTAGTCTTCCTTCTCTCCGAACCTGTGGAGTGGAAAATATAGCAGTAGAATCTTTCCTGAAATATTGTCAGGATAGTCATTGTAAGAAAGATCCTTTGTGTTCCAGTAGGAGAAGACGTGTGGGTACATACTGTGGCAGGTGGCCCTATACATAGGTTCACTACCAGATATGCCCACGCTATATAAACTGAAATGCAACATTGGCAGATGGCTGAGTGGTCTTCATTTTGTTCTTGATATCCTGCAACCTGACCTGCTATTCTGCCTTCCTCTTGTGACCTTGGCCTGCCTAATGGACTCTGATTATTGCCTTCTGCTTCAAATACTATTACTGACCTCAGCCTGTATCCTGATGCATCTCTGCCTTGGATTCTGGACCTCTCTACCCAACTTTTACTGACCTTGGCCTGCATCCTGACTTTGCCTCTTCACTCGGAACCTTGCTGCCTGGCTGTCACCTACCTGCAGCTTGCATCCTGGCTATGCTCCTTGGAAAGGTTTAGATGCCAGCTGGACTCCTTACAGCGCTGTGACCAAATTAGATATGATGGTGCTTGTAGTGACAATCAAGTGACAATCAAGAATGGCGACGTGATAGATCCACAGAAGAGGATAGGAAGAAGTCTCCGGCACTCAGTACTTGAAGGTACAAAAGTAGTGTCATTTGTTGATAATGCAATAATCAAATGGAACCCATCGCACACCTGACTGGATAATACCCTCGAGTATCAGGTGGGTGGGTACCGAGCGACCACGGATGCCTCCGCAAATCAGTGTCAATGTGAAGAAAGTCACTCGCACTCCAGCTCAAATTCAGTCAATATTTATTGACCCTTTGTAGTGTCACAGCATAGTGAAGTTGCAAATATCTCGTGGTGCATGTACAGTAAGCACTTGTCTTTGTCTTTAAATCCATCCCTGTGGAGCCCATTATACCCTATCACTGTAGACATGGTCTTGGCTTCTTTTCAAGTCAACGTTCAACTTTCAGCTTCCAGTGCCTGGCAGTTGAAATTTTAAGGGTAAGAGGAGAGGGCTTGGCCCTGACTGTAACTGTAGTTTAGCTTTAGACTGTAAGCCCCTTAACATTTGTACTAAATATCTTGCCATAGATGTAGTCAAATGGGAATTGCAATCTACAAAAAGTTGAAAACCCTATTAGAACAATATATAAACATAAAAAAAACCCGGCATGTTATAGTTTAGTCCAGGTTCAATTCTACTTCATCCATATTTGCCAAAGGATAATGCGGAGATACCTAGCATGCAAAAGTTCTAGAGCGTTACATTTGAAATTCACATAAATGGGGAGAGACGTCTATCAGATAGGCAGCCCAATGGCCAAACGAAAGAGCTTGCATGGCAGGCTGGCTGGCAATGCTAATGTTAATTGCAAGGCAGTGTCTTACTATTGTCAGCCTAACTGGCAGGATCCCCAAATAAGAAATTTTGCAACAAAATTACAAAAACCTTTTTATTTAAGAAAACTGAAGTCAGGCATGATGCCAATCTTGTGTAAAAATAGATTTCGAGTTTACGTACACTTTAAGCTCAGTTACACAGATAGAAGCTGGCCATTCGTTTGTTAGATCATGAATGGTTCACCCGTGGATATTAAGTAGTGTCAACTGTGGATTCTCACCTTGTAAAGTTTGCAAGGTTTTGCAGGACTTTGGCGACCAGGGTCAAAGCGCGTGCGGCAAGGGGGTTGGGATGTTCAGGAGAGAGGTGGAAGAGCCCCGGGGAGAGGATAGCAGGACACAGGAACCGCAAGAAGAGGCAAGCGCTGACCATCTGAGAACCCAACTCTGGTCTGCTACACATAGTTACTTTCTCCTGCCAGCTTGAGAACACAGCCAGGAGCTCTGGAGGAAAAGAGCTGTGATTGGGGGAAAAAAAAAAGAAAGACAGAAGAAGAACTTTAACTTTTACATAACAGAAATGTAGACAGAGAATGTTTGAGGGGCAACGATCCCACCCTACTCAGCCATTAAAGTGTCCAGCTAAAAATGTTTCATTTATGTTTTGCATTTTATGGAAGGTTTAGAACCTCTTATAGGCTATGCTGATATCTGGAGCTTCGTTAGAGCATTTCCCCTCATATACACAGTGATGGTTTTAACAGACAGAAAGTAAAAGACAATCTGTGGGGCCAGGATGGTGGTATTTTTACATTTACACCTTTCCCTGACTCCAAAGGCATGAACATGCATATTCTGCCACCTCCACTCCATACGGAGTCACAAGACGAGAGGTACGATACCTGTAAATGTTACACTAAGGCCCTATTGCCTGAGAGAGTTCCAATCAGCAGGGGATCCGTGAATGGAATCCCTGCTGACTGGAGCAGTACAGAACGGGTGTTACAACTGTGACATCCGTGTCCATCCATTTTTTCCCTTCAATTTGCAATGGAGCAAAAATGCTGAACTTGGTGGACCCATGTTAGGTCTATGGGGAGTCAAATGTAAACAAACATGTGTCGGTGTACATAAGATTACCCCCAATCTGTCACCATCAAGTTTGCCAAAACGGAACTCTGTTCTGCTCTCCTCTGTATCTCCAAGTTTAAACCTGTGCTCCTCATTGTCTCCAAGTATAACCCTGTGCCCCCCATATGTCCAGGTTTATCCCTGTGCTCCTCCATATCTCCAAGTTTAACCCTATGTTCCTCTATAGCTGCAAGTTTAACCCTGTGTTACTCCAAAGCTCCAAGTTTAAACCTGTGCTCCTCCATATCTCCAAGTATAACCCTGTGCCCCCCATATGTCCAAGTTTAACCCTGTGCTCCTCCATATCTCCAAGTTTAACCCTGTGCTCCTCCATATCTCCAAGTTTAACCCTGTGCTCCTCCATATCTCCAAGATTAATCCTGTGCTCCTCCATATCTCCAAGTTTAACCCTGTGCTCCTTCATATCTCCAAGCTTAACCCTGTGCTCCTCCATATCTCCAAGCCTAACCCTGTGCTCCTCCATATCTCCAAGCTTAACCCTGTGCTCCTCCATATCTCCATGTTTAACCCTGTGCTCCTCCATATCTCCAAGCTTAACCCTGTGCTCCCCATATCTCCAAGTTTAACCCTGTGCTCCTCCATATCTTCAAGTTTAACCCTGTGCTCCTCCACATCTCTAAGTTTAACCCTATGCTCTTCTGTAGCTCCAAGTGTACCCCCTGTGCCTCCAACATGTCTCTATGTGCCTGTGTACATCTCCCTGCGTATCCCTGTGCCACCAGTGCATCTCCATGTGTCCACCACCATACTTCCAAGTGAGCCGCAATCCTCCACTCTGCACAGTACTGTGCTGTTGTATTATAGCCACCTGCAGTTGTACTGTATGGTGTTGCGCTGCGTATCCTTAAAGGAGAACTATGAGGTGAGTGATTTCCACTCATCCTCATAGTTAGAGCCAACCTGTGACAAAGAAAGAAGCTGTCACAGGTCGGCTCTATTGATCGGGAAGTGAGCAGATACATACACTGATCCACTCACTTCCCGATCGTCTCCCTGCACCGCTCACTGCAGGGATTTCCCCCCTCCCCTCTCTGATCCTCTAGTGCTGAGTGAAGGAACGTATGGGGAAGAGGGCGGGCACAGCTGTCACTCACGCAGCTGGGTGGATCTCGAGAGTATTGTCGGGATCCGCCCCGGCTGCGCCTCTCCCAGTATATCGCGGGCAATAGCCCGTGATATACTGAGCTTTGGGTAACGGAAGGAGGTTAGTATATGTCCTCCGTGACCCTAAAGAGAACACTTACTCCATAGTTCCCTTTTAAGGATACACTGGGTGGTGCTTCTATTTCAATGGTGGTCATGTAACCGCTCAAAAGGGCTCAATTTTGAATCGGGGCAAAGTGAACCAACGCATAACAAGGGCTGATTTTTATCAGAGCAAAAGTTCCAACAACATTAAATACTAACTATCATTCTCAGTCATTTTTCAGGGTAGATTAGAATCTAACAGTCCAAGTTGGGTCATCACATACGGGTATTCTGACACTCTATAGGATGAAGTCCATGCCTGCAATGAGAGAGAGAGAGAGACCTGGGGAACTTACCTTTGTGACTCTAGAATACTTTGCACAGCTTCTTCGCAGCTCTGCCACAGATGCTCCTTGTTCTCATTTAGCTCTTCTGGGGAACAGCGCAGAGGATCCACCTCATGACTGTCTGTTGAGGCATATATACGAGAGACAAAAGGTCCTGGGGACAAAATAGAACCCAATATATACTTCATAGATGATTTTCATATGTGATATGACAGTTTCTAAATGCAATCATAGAAAGAAGCCACAAAAATACTAGAGGAATATTTCTAGAAAGTTAATTCACCAAACCTCTATGAAGGCATCAATTACTCAACAAGTCCCCCCTTGGAAAGAAACATTTCCCTGTATCACGTGTATAAACTGATGTTTGGCTGCTGTTTCATTGTTAGTCTGAACAAATTTGGAAAATAAAGCTTAAAGCTGAAGTCCACACGCACATTACCACAATGGGTAGCAATGCATGCTGTGTGTATGTAGTCACCCTACCCTAATGTCTCATCAAATGTATTGCTGGCTGGTTGTATCCAGCTAGTGCTGAATTGATAGATTGTTCTGTCTTTGATTGTCTTCCCCCAAATCTGGCAAGATTGACTGCTTTTGCCTGGTACCAGGGAGTGTGTCTGGTAATAGAGTAGGGAGGGCCAATAGAGCCAGGTTTTGAATATGTATGTCTTTTTTCTGACTCTGGCCTACCACTAGTAGTTTTGTTGCCAATGGTGCATGCTGGGGAAGGGTATATATGTGGGGCTAATCTTGGCAGGGGTCTTTGGTCTTTAGTCTGGCTGTGCTAGTTCTGCTGTACTTCTAGGCCTGATGCCCATGTGTTCTGAAGAAAGGACCTGGAGTTGGGTCTGATGCTTGCCTTGGGTACAAGCTGAGCTTTGTTCAAGTTGGCCTCCCACAAGAAAATTTATTGTGCTGGAGAAGTCTAGGCCAGCTGTGTAATGCTGGAGCCCTGCAGGGAACCTGGTAACTCACTTGGGAGAAAGGATAGAGCCCGCTGCTCATCAGCAAAGGTCCTGCTAAACTACATAAATGTCTTGGTCTCAGCTTAAAGGTCCTCATTCTGTAAAGCTAGGTGTGGAGTTTGGAGTCTGTGTCAAACCATGCTGCGGGTATCTGAAGCCCATACGTCTCTGTCTGTCTAAATAATATGGTAAACAAAGCCTTTGAAACATATTAAAGTGAATGGTGCTCAACTTGCATCCACACCCCACAACCAGCCAAGGAGAAATAGTGGTCCACCCTGCCTATGGGGTCCCTCACATGGATTTAGGAGTCAGGGGAGTTCAATTTTTGGATTAATACTGATTAAGTTGTAAATAATACAACGTTGAAAGAACAGTTTCTGTGTTTGTAGGTAACACCAAGCTAAGTAGTCAAACACTGTCCCTGCAACTTACAAGCTGACCTAGACAGACTCGTTGGTTTCCTCATGAGGATTTATGTTTATAAATAAGAAATAATGAACTTGGTGGCTAAAAACTTGCATGAAACATACAATCTGGGGGTGGGAGAACCTGGGTGAATCTATGATGCCCTTATCAATAGGACTTAAAAGAGATCTATGGGGTAAGTGTTTTTCCCCATAGTCCTCTTAAGGGTCACGGGAGGACATATACTAACCTCCTCCCGTGACCCAAAGCTCAGTATATAGCGAGCAACAGCTCGCGGTATACTGAGACCGCCGCAGCCGGAACGGATCCTGATAATGCTGTGGACATCCACCCAGCTGCGTGAATGACAGCTGGCTCTGCCTATCCAGAGGCAGAGCCAGCTGTTCCCGCCTCTTCTCTCGTCCGTTCCTCCACTCAGTGCTGGAGGATCGGAGAGGGGGAATCCCTGCGGGGAGTGGTGACTGACAGCCACCGCTCTCTGCAGGGAGATGATCAGAAAGTGAGCGTGATACTTCCTATAAGCTTAGCTCTTTCTTCCCTTAACACATTCTAGCCCTAACTACTAGCAAACAGAGCTCTATTGCCCATTCCATGAGACCTGATTTATGTAAAGTGTGTAGCTACAAGGCGCTTTCATTCTCCGCACCAAGGGTCTCTTGGAGATACGTCTGTCCCACCATTTTCATGTACTCTTCTATGGCCTTGGTAACAATAGTGTTTTCACGGAATATTAATGATTCTTGGAAGTCATAACGTGTGATCTCAGCTGTACCAAGGTCCACCAGGAACTCCTGCAAAACAATGCACAAGAATGGAATAAGGCCACATCCAGTGACTTTGATGATCCTATAATTATCCATGTTAGTTATGGAAATTTAAAGCATATGGTGTTATTTTTAGAATAGAAAAGCCTCAGGTCTCACCTTGGCCTGGCCAGTACTCTGAAGGACATAGATCAGTGTTCTCCCAAGCTCTTCTTTCTCCCGTGCACTCAGAATGGGCTCCATTGCTCGGCTTAGCTTGAGGTACTTCCAGGCAAGGTACTCTGCAAATTCCTTGTACTGCACCAGAGGAAGAACACAGAGCTTCCTGTACCTGCCTCTTAGTCTGAGTGTCACATCTCCACCAAGAGGCACCCATCTCTCCACCCCATCCCTCATCCCTTCCAAAACCAGTGTTACAGTTCCCACACCAGTGGCTTCTTTTCCTTCTCGGAGAAGATGGAGGGCAACGTGACCAGAAGAAGACGGCAAGTCTTTCAAGTTAAAGCTCTCCCCCCAGAATACCACTCCAGACTCGGGTGCTTTGCTTGAGGTTCGGCCATAAAGAGAACCATCAATATGGACCTCACAGAAGTAAAGGGCTCGAGAGCCAGGACCTGAATTGGGAAGACCTTTGGCTTCATGGATCCACAGACTGAGAGAGGACTCTTCACGCTCAAAATTATCCTGGGCAAAGCAAAAAAATTGAAATAGGTTCACGAACTTGACAATTTATAATAAAGACACTTGAGTGAGGGTTGAATAAACAGACAAGTTTGCTCACCTTATCAGGCTGCACAATTCTGCGCAGATTTTCAATCCACCGGTCTCGCTCCAGAACCGAGGAACATCCAAAACAGCGGCTGCTTGTGGAGGTGATGACCTATGAGACATGAAGGATTGTTAGTCAGTATCTCATTTATTAAGATGCCTAAAGTGTATTTCCAATTTTGCAGTCACATTTTTAAAAACTTGATCATATGGGACTGATTTATAAATCGTTTGCCCCGCGAAGAACTGTGTAAATGAGATCCATAGCCCTGTACGGGCACTAGATGGAGCCACGGAGCATAAGAATTACTTATGCTCCTCGGCTCCATCTAGAGGTCATACAATGCAAATCTTTTTCACGTGTTAGCATTCACACAGCATGTCCAAAATTCACTCCTCCCATGCTCGCCTCCAGGACTTCACTAGAGTCTCTCCCATCCTCTGGAACTCTTTACCCCATCCTGTCTGTCTATCTCCAACTCTGACTGCCTTTAGGCAATCCATTAAGACTCATCTCTTCAGGGAAGCCTATCCCACCTCAACCTAACCACTCAACCATCACGTTCTCAAACAATTCATCCCACACAGCTACCTCCTCATGTATCACTTGCCCCTCCCTCTTAGATTGTAAGCCCTCAGGGGCAGGGCCCTCCTTACCATCTTGTCTTGAATTGTATTGTGATTGTAATGTCTTCCTTATATTGTAAAGCGCTGCGCAAACTGTTGGCGCCATATAAATCCTGTATAATAATAATAATTTGCAAAAAAATATTCCTTGCAAGCTACTCTGAACACTTTCAAAGTGAGTCTGTCCCTGTGGACAGAGTGAGTTTCCCTTTATTAATATACAAGCCAAACCTCTAGATCGTTAACACTTTGTTAGGACAGACAGTGTTCAAATGTACTGTAGTATACAACTGATGATGAGATCTTCCAGCACCGTACAGACGTATGGTATTATGGTAATTATCATTAACTCCCCAGCCCCCCTCCATGAAATTACAGAGAATGGACAAAATTGAGTTTTCGGAAAAGAGCAAATAAAATGTTACTCAACATATTAAAAGATTTTGTTTTAAAGAGATGCTATATGAATGAGAACATGTAACAAATATAAAATAGGTGTCATGCCAATTTGACTGCAAAAGTGGAAATACGTTTAAAGTAAACCAATTTTGTGTTTCTCAACGATGAAGGAGAACTATGAGGTGCGTGCTTTTCACTCACCTCATAGTTCTAGCCGACCTGTGACAATGAGACTGTCACAGGTCGGCTCAGTAGATCGGGAAGTGAGCGAACACATACCGGCGTTCGCTCACCTCTCGATCCTGTCACAGCTCTCTGACGTGACAGGGGAGGGGCTGGATTCCCCCCTCCCCTGTCCGATCCTCCAACGCTGACCGGCGGAACGAACAGGGGAGGGGGCGGGTACAGCTGGGTCTGCCTCTAGATAGGCAGAGCCAGCTGTCACTCATGCAGCTGGGTGGATCCAGACAGAATTGTCAGAATCTGTTCCGGCTGTGGCGTCTCAGTATACAGCTCCCTATATACTGCGCTGTGGGTGACGGGAGGACGCTAGTTCGTGTCCTCCCGTTACCCTTAGGAGAACTGTGGGGAAAGGCCCTAACCCCATAGTTCTCCTTTAACTTGCATTTTTGGCGTAGCTGTAAAAAATAAGTCAAGGCAACTGGACTTGCTGTATTTTGTTTGAAGACGTTTCACTGGACATCCAACCAGCTTTCTCAATTTAGAATTGAATTGAGATCCATTCTGAATTGAGAAAGCTGGCCGGATGTCCAGTGAAACGTGAAAGAATACAGCAAGTCCAGTTGCCTTGACTTATTTTTTTACAGATATACCATGACCTGGATGAATGAGATCCTTCACAGACATTTTTGGTGTAGGTTGGAAAAATTAAATAATAAACGTAGCAACTAATTATTTTACACACTTTGATAATTAGGGTCCATAGTGTAACGTCCACTAAGAGTAACCTATAGCAATCAACCAGCAATTGGCCTTCATTAATCTCTCCAATTCATAATAGAACTATGGCCTCCCATTAACAAAAATATGAGCTGCAGAACTTACTGTAATTTTAAGTACAATTGTACCTGCTATTTTTCTTTAGTACCCCTGCAAGTTCCCACAAATACCTGTTAATCCTGCCAGTGAAGTCCACCTAATGCAGCTTCCTAACATATGGGGACAACGCTGCTGCACTGCTCCTGAAATCAGAGCAGCTTTGTCCTTCCATAGTGTAAGGTTCACTAAAGCTCACCACACATCTCCTTTAGATCTACCAGCAACTATGTAGTGCAAGGACCTGTCTGATTGGATGCAGATTGATTGGATGGATTAGGTAGGTCCTCCTATTACATAGGATCTACATTTGATTGTACAAAAATTGGATGGTCACATTGTAACGTGTGTGATGAACATAGGCTAACCTATAGCAATTGACCAATTGTTAGCCTTTATTCATCTCTCTAATATAAAATAGAACTATGGCCTCCCATTACAAAATACATGCTGCAGCACCTAATCATAAGTACATGAGTTCGTTTTTCCTTAGTTCCCCTGCAAAATCCCACAAATGCCTGTTGATCCTGCCCATGAGGTCAACTTCATGCACCTTGTGGGGACAACAGTGCTGCACTGTTCCTGAAATCAGAGCAGCATTGTCCCCTTTGAAGGCTGTGTGTCATAGGACTACAGTTGGATGAGAAGAGAGGATATGGTTATCAATGTTGTCAATGCTGATTCATAAAGCCGGTAGCTTGTCAATCAGCAGCTGACCATATCTATCTCCACCCACTTTTTTCCGGCTGTGTTGAAATGACTGTGCCGCAAAAAAACTTTCCAACTGGCTGCAGTGTCAGGGAGAGGGAGTGGGTAAGGCACAAATGAAGAAGGATTTGGCTAACTCAAAGGAGGTAAAAGAAGTTACTTTTCAGTTTATGAGGATTGTGCATCCCATAATAACTGGATCTGAGACCAGCTTAGACTGCCACAAAGGAGCCTTTAGATTTACCCAGGGCCTGATTTCCCACAAGTCCAACCAAGGCCTGGCCTCAGGTCAGCAGGGAGTAGAGGGGCAGCAGGGAGTAGAGGGGCAGCAGGAGTGTGGAATTCCTATCTCCCGACGCCCAGGACATGTAGTTCCGGACGCCGGGCATGCAGTTGTTTTCTACATTTAGCCCTGCTTTGGGCATGCAGGGCTAAATGTACAGCGGGGAAGCATTGAGGAACCTGGACTTGGGGCAGCAGAGAGAGTAAATCCGGCCCTGGATCTACCTTAACTTTCTGAAAGCTGTTTTCTGGTTGGTTGTCACAATGGCAACTTCCCGTATTGTCCTACAAGATAAAAGAAAAACAGCCCTAAAAGGAATTCTTGTTATAGTCACCTCAAAGCAGAACTGCTCCCCCAGAATACTGCTGTGTAGAGCCCGTATAATGACATCGCTCTCGGTAGTCAGGTCAAGAATTTCTACACAACCCAGGGACTCATGGGACCCGTGCAAACTCCTGAAATAGGCAAAAGAGAGTTTACTGTCATCATTTTACTTTGCAAACTACACATTTCCTGACGTTTGGAATGCTCAGCTCTCTTTGGCTGGTATTTATTGTGCCCAAGGAGGACATAATGAGGTTGGTTAACTAAAGGAGTAGAAGCTGTTCACATTTCAAAGGGAATTTACACTTAGCTTACTGAATGAGGTGAACGTTGTGTTGACTTCAATCATCCAATGGTGTGCCGGTAACATTCCTGTTTTTTGTTTTTTTTTTAGTTCAAAAGGATTTTTATTAGTTTTAGGTGGATGAACAAGCAAGTCCAAAGAGACATCAAGTACTCAACTTCAATACAATCAACACATTAACACGGACTTCGAGTCAAGGTTGCAGAAAACTAGTCTGAGTTATCTGGTTTTTGAGGAAGGGGGGGAGGATATTCCATAAGGGAAAGGGGAGAGGGGGAGCAAGTA